ACACTCTCTCTCACACACACACTCTCTCTCTCACACACTCTCTCTCACACACACACTCTCTCTCTCACACACTCTCTCTCACACACACACTCTCTCTCTCACACACTCTCTCTCACACACACACTCTCTCTCTCACACACTCTCTCTCACACACACACTCTCTCTCTCACACACTCTCTCTCACACACACACTCTCTCTCTCACACACTCTCTCTCACACACACACTCTCTCTCTCACACACTCTCTCTCACACACACACTCTCTCTCTCACACACACACTGCTGAGTTAATGGAAGGACGTGTGACTATAAGAAGACGATGCATTTCTCTTCATGAAGTGTGATTGATCTGATCCTCATCACAGCACTGATTCACCTTCAGTCTTCAGAAACACCACAAACACAGTGTGCTACAAGGCTGGGATTTTATTCATGCATCAGAAATGAACACAATTTGTACAAAAATACTTTCCTGTCAATGCATCCCGCACGAGCACTGCACAAATATTACAGTCGGATGCACATTTCAAGTTTACAGCAAACACAGCACATTTAAAAGATAAAAAAAAAAGATATTCCAACTTCCAGCGAACATTGGAAAGGTACAAAACGTTACAAAAAGCAGTTGTTATTATTACAGAGCTGGATTTGTGTATCTGAGTATCTGATGTGGCCCAGCCATCATTAAACCAAGAAGTAAATACAGATCCAAGAGAAAAACCTGATCAGAACATTGATCCTCACAGAAACACTCATGCATTCAGATCCATCTCTAGCGTTACAGGACGTTTTGTACAGGACAGTAAAAGAATAGCAGTGCTTTCATTACAAAAATATGTACAAGCGTCGATGAAGTGTTGCTTCTCTCCAGTGTGTGCTTCAGACGGACTCACAGCAGCTGCAGCACAGAACAACAGCATCAGACTCAGAGCAGAGCACAGCAATAAGAGATCTGATCTGATCTGATCCCCGTCATAAACACACAGCTCCTCTACAGCACGCTCTCAGCTGGACGCAGTCAAATAAACAATCAAAGCATACTGTATGAGCGCGGGAAGGACAGTGTAACATATACAGATACATAACTTTACAGCTCAAATACAGGTTGACAAAAAAAAATGATAAGCTTTATAAAAAAAATTTTGAAAAATAAATTGTCAAAAATGATTTGAAAAAAAAAAAATTTACTAGGACTTTATCATTTATAAATATATAAGACCCTGAATTTGAACTAAACGTGAGAAAACTAAACGTATGGCCTCCTGAGACCCAGAGAAAACTACTTTTTATGAATTTAGTATTTTTTCATGTCATTGTTGAAAAACTATTTTGAAAAATGCTAATTTGTTCATATGTTCTGGAAACCAGGACT